AGTTTTATGTCATTATTTATTAATTGATCACAACTTATATAAACTTTACAATAGAGAAAATCTTAAAATTGAACAAGAGCTAGACTTGGACCATTGTACACCACGAACTATACATTTCGGTCACGTGACCATGAAAGAAGGAGGGCGTACTAGGTGGCGACGGGACGCCGTGCGTTCGGGACCTGCATCTCATTTTTCGTTCCGAGGAGAGAAAAATATCGAGAGCGCGGTAGTCGCTAGACCGGGAATCGAACCCGGGTCTTTCGCTTGCCGGGCGACTGCTCTAGACCACTGAGCTATCTGACGCTCCACGCTCACGACACTCTCCCCTCCCCAGATAACGTTGAGAGATGTCGTTCGGAGGCGACATCTCTAGTGCTATCCGTGGTATTGCACGGATGGGATGATCCACTAATGTCGTACAATGATGTGAGGCGGCTTTTTAATTAAACTTTTCGTAATCAAGGTAATGCCATTTCAAAATCTACCGTTGAAAGAACAATAAGGCGTTTTCAGGAAACTGGAAGTGTGAAAAATCGTGCAATACCACGTAAGCCGAGCGCACGGCGACTACAGAGAGAGGTATTGTTACTTGTACCTGGTGGTACAAGCTGACAGTCTCTCAAAGTCAAAGGTTGCTATCCTTTTAAGACCTACGTAAACCTTGACGTAAACTTTGACAGCATGAGAGATTCGATAGAGACGTGATGATCGGTGCATTCTGGTAATGGTGAAGTCGCCACAAATCTATACAGGGTGAAGAAAAAACTCAGGGACCCCTGAAAATTTCGAAAAATATACACTTTATAAAAAATGTTTCAGACAAAAGTTGTAGCGTTGAAAAAAGTCTATTTACCGATCTCAACAATTTGACCTTGGGTGGCGTCATCAAGGTCAGGACAAGGTCAACTCGGAATTTTTAAATAGAACTTCCAATTTTTTATTGCATATGTTTATAGCCTTCTTCAGACCTTTTCAAAGCACTATATATTTTATCCAATTTGAATAAGCTGTTCCGAAGTTATCGAGTTTTTTAAAGTAAGATATCTAGCCAACTAAGGCAAGATCGGAGGATGATCCGGCCAACTAAGGCAAGATCGGAGGATGATCCGGCCAACTAGGGCAAGATCGAAGTGATCGAGCCAACTAAGACAAGATCGGAGGGTGATCCAGCCAACTCGTAAAAATAATTGCGCGACTAACTTCCAGGCGTTGGCTCCTATTGGCTTGTCTTAATTTCGTTGATTTAGTTCAGTTATTTATTTATTTGAGCTATTCTGCCGTTCGATGTTTACTTCTTCCATTTACTCATTTAATACTCATTACAGTTTAGTGAATCGCAAACTCGACTGAAACTCCTTTATTTTTTTGAAAATTATTAAGAAACAGTTTGAAGCTAATTGTAAGCTGACTTAATTGCACTTCATTCCGTGCTCATTATTATTCTTCAGCACTGTCTTCAGAATAACTTTTAATTGATCCAAATATTAATTTAGTCGATTAGACTAAATCTTACCACTTCTGCTTGTCAATATGGCAAGTCTTTCAAAACGAGAACGCATATCTCTTTTAATGATGAGAGGATGGGATGATCGACTAATGTCGTACAATGATGTGAGGCGGCTTTTTAATTAAACTTTTCGTAATCAAGGTAATGCCATTTCAAAATCTACCGTTGAAAGAACGATAAGGCGTTTTCAGGAAACTGGAAGTGTGAAAAATCGTGCAATACCACGTAAGCCAGTATCAGCAACAAGTGTATAAAAATCATTAGATGTTCTACAATTCTTTATCGAAAATCCGCATGATTTGACTCGCAAAGTAGGACAGCAACATGAAATAGATCAAATGTATGTGCTTAAAATATTGAAAATGAATAAATTTCATCCTTGTAAGATCCATCTTGTACAAGAGCTAAATGAAGATGATTTTGATAGGCGCATTGAATTTTGTGATTTGATGATGGAAAAAATAGCCGAAGATCCTAACTATCTTTCAAATGTAGTATTTTCAGATGAGACAACATTTCAGTTAAATGGCCACGTTAATCGACACAATTGTAGATTTTGGTCAGATACAAATCCTCACTGGATTGTAGAAATACACATGCAGTATCCACAAAAAGTGAATGTTCGGGTAGGCATTTTGAATAATGTTCTCATAGGTCCACTCTTTATTGACGGAAATCTAACAGCGATAAAATATGAGAATATGCTAAGAAACGAAATAGTTCCAGCAATACAAGCAATCATGGATGAACTTCGATCATACATAGTTCCAACAAAATAGTGGCCCCCCCTCACATTACGGAAGGGACGTCCGTAATTATCTGGACACAGTGTTTCCTCATCGATGGATAGATAGAAGAGGACCTATAAAATGGCCTCCTCGGTTACCCGATTTATCACCTAACGATTACTTCCTGTGGGGTCATTTAAAAGATAGAGTTTATAAAACGAAACCACAAAATTTGGATCACTTACGAAATCGAATTCTTGATGAAGCTGCTGTTATCCCTACTGATTACATTCAAAAAGCCGTTTTATCTTTTTACGATAGATTAGCTTATTGTCAAGCTGTTGATGGCGGACATTTTGAGCAATTACTTTAAAGCTTTCCAGTATTGCCTTAGTTGGCCGGACAATTCCCGACCTTGCCTTAGTTGGCCGGATCATCCTACGCTATTGCCTTAGTTGGCTGGATCATCCTCCGATCTTGCCTTAGTTGACTGGATCATCTTCCGATCTTGCCTTAGTTGGCCGGATCATTCTCCGATCTTGCCTTAGCTGACCGGATCATCCTCCGATATTGTCTAAGTTGACTGAATCATCCTCCGATCTTGCCTTAGTTGACTGGATCATCCTCTAATCTTGCCTTAGTTGGCTGGATCATCCTCCGATCTTGCCTCAGTTGGCCGGATCATCCTACGATCTTGCCTTAGTTGGCCGGATCATCCTCCGATCTTGCCTTAGTTGGCCGGATCATCCTACGATCTTGCCTTAGTTGGCCGGATCATCCTCCGATCTTGCCTTAGTTGGCTGGATCATCCTCCGATCTTACCTTAGTTGGCCGGATCATCCTACGATCTTGCCTTAGTTGGCCGGATCATCCTGTGATCTTACGTTAGTTGGTCGGATCATCCTACGATCTTGCCTTAGTTGGATAGATCATCTTCCGATCTTGCTTTAGTCGGATGGATCATCCTACGATCTTGTCTTAGTTGGCCGGATCATCTTCCGATCTTGCCTTAATTGGCTGGATCATCCTACGATTTTGCCTTAGTTGGCTGGATCATCCTCCGATCTTGCCTTAGTTGGCTAGATATATTACTTTAAAAAACTCGATAACTTCGGAACAGCTTATTCAAATTGGATAATACCATAGTGCTTTGAAAAGGTCTGAAGAAAGGCTATAAGAATATGCAATAAAGAATTGGCAGTTCCATTTAAAAAGTCCGAGGTGACTTTGTCCTGACCTTGATGACGCCACCCAAGATCAAATTGTTATGATCGGTAAATAGATCTTTTTCAACGCTACAACTTTTGTCTGAAACATTTTTTATAAAGTGTATATTTTTCGAAATTTTCAGGGGTCCCTGAGTTTTTTCTTCACCCTGTATACCATCGTATAACGCCATCTTTTTAACGATGTCTGTCAAAATTTCAGACAGACTTATCGAGGTATTTTGTTTGGATAGCTGTTGAAAATGGGCAAGTTCCTGTTTATTTGTAACCATGGAAAAGAGCAATATTGGTCAGTGATTCGATTTTCTTTTGGATGGGATGGATGTGTGAGGAAATCAAAGTGAAGTTGCATGCCGTTTATAAAGACCATACACCTTCGATGACTGCCATCAGATATTAGTTTAATGAATTCAAGCATGGCCGAACATCCTTTTTTATGAAGAGCGCCCAGACCGTTCGATTGAGGTGACTACGGAAGATATGGTCAACAAAACCCATGATATCATGTTAACAGATCGCCAGATGAAGATCAGAGAGACTGCTGACATTGTAAACAACTCAATTGAATGCGTACAAAATAACCTACACGAAAAATTGGGCATGAGAAAACTATCAGCGTGATGGATGCTGCGTTTGCTCACTGTGTTGCAAAAACGGAATCGCATGACAACTTCGGAGCACTGTTTGGACATATTTAAGCGCAATCCGAAAGAGTTTCTGTAGCATTTCGTGACTGTTTACGAAACATGAATACATTACTACATGCCAGAAATGAAAGAATAATCGAAGCAGTGGACTTCACCTAGGGAACCTGCTCCAAAGAAGGCGAAAATAGTTCCATCGGCCGGAAAGGTCATAGCCACCGTTTTGGGATTCTCGAGGCATCATCTTCACCGACCATTTGGAGAAGGGAAGAATTACGGGACAGTACTGTACTGATTTATTGGACCAATTCGACGCTGAATTGATGAAAAAACGGTCCTATTTAGCGAAGAGAAAAGTGCTCTTTCATTATGGCAACGCGCTAGCTTACTCGTCCACAATCGCCACAGCAAAACTGGTAGAACTACGCTACAAATTGCTGCCTCATTCATCCTATTCTCCAGATTTGACTTCATGCAATTTCTTTTTGTTTCCAAGAATGAAAAAATGACTTGGCGCAAAGCGGTTCACATTAAACAAGGAAGTTTTCGCCGAAACAGAGGTTTATTTTGCGGAGTTCGACAAATCATATTTATTGGATGGCTTAATAAAGTTGGAATATTGTTGGACTAATTGTATCAAGCTGAAAGGAGCTATGTCGAGAAATAAATAAAAAGAAAAAGATGCGTTTCTTTCCCTAATACGGGTATTTATCATACAGCCCTCGTATATTTCGTTGTAATATTCCAATGGGGAAGTAATATTAATGTGATGTTGCTATAATATTATGTGCTATGTAAGATGTTATACAATTAATAATTTCCAAAATGCAGTTTCATATTTGTATTTGTTTCAGTAAAACTGGTAAAATAAAAGTTGACATTTTATCCACAGATATAAATTAGAACACGTGACAAAACCGATTGAACGACATGCTCTGCAATTGTGTGAGAATTATAATTATAATACTAAATATAACGCTCATCAATATGAAAATTACCAAAGGAAATCGAAAGAGGAAACCTGTAGTTTAAAAGAATGCATTATTAATCACAATAAGGCAATTAGGTTAATACATTATATTTGTTGTAATTTGAAAAGTAAAATGCAAAGAATGTAAATCAGTAGCAGGAAAAGACACGCTTTTTATTGGAAGGACTTTTTTTAGTCTTTTAATATCTTATATACAGGGTGTTCAAAAAACTCTGGTACGGGCGGGTAACTCTTGAAATATTAGTTATCGTAAAAAACTTCTTCGATAAAGGTTGCAAGGAAAAAATATTTAATGGTAATCTTGATCTTTAACCTTGAGGTAACCTTCAAGGTCAAATGAAGGTGAACCCCGTTTTGTCAAACAGAAGCATGCGTTTTTGATAGCGGAAATCGAAAGAGCGCAAAAAATTGCGTCCAGGTATGTCCTTAGTCATGTTCACTTTTAATCTCCAGAAGTCATTTCAAGGTCATTGAACCTTACGCTTCCATAAGTTACAGTGCGACCGGATAAATCTGGAAATAATAGTTGTCGTAAGAAGCTTCTTAGACAAAAGTTGTAGGGAATAAGAAAAGGTATTTAATGGTGACCTTGACCTTTGACCTTGAGGTAACCTTTAAGATCAAATGTCAAACCCGTTTTTTTCAAATAAAATCATGTGCTTCTGACAGCGAAAATCAAAAGCGCGTAAAAAATAACATCCAGATATGTCCCTAGTCATGTTGACCTTTGACCATTAAACCTTACACTTCCAGAAGTTACGATACGGCCGGATAAATCTAGAAATATTAATTGTCGTAAGAAACTTCTTAGACAAAAGTGGTAGGGAATAAAAAAAGTATTCAAAGGTACCTTGTAAAGTAACCTTGACCCTTGAAATGGTCAACATAGAGGTCAACCTTGACGTAAAGGTCAAAGGTCAACATAACTAAGGACATATGTGGACGTAATTTTTTACGCGCTCTTGATTTTCGTTGTCAAAAATACATGCTTCTATTTGAAAAAAAAGGTTGACCTTCATTTGACCTTGAAATTTACCTCAAGGTCAAAGATTAAAGTTACCATTGAATACTTTTTTATTCCCTGCAACATTTGTCGAAGAAGTTTTTATGATAACCAATATTTCAAGAGTTATCCGTCCGTAGTGGAACTTTTTGAACACTCTGTATATACAGGGTGTCCCATTTAACTTGAGAGATCGAAATAACTCGAAAACAAAGAAGAAAAACAAAAATTGCTGAAACACATGTCGAACGAATTCCGAGGACGAGTAAAATGGTATGATTCCTTTTTCGGCAAAAATACTGTTTAGGGAACCTATTTCCGATGACCTTCTCCGTTACATATATTATAGAACTCACTGTCCTGAGTAACAATCAAAAGGTTTTAGCCGTCGCTCATTATTTATTAAAAACTTTGAAATCGTTTGAAAGCCTTAGGGAAGGTTTACAAGAAAGGAAAATGGGTCCCATATGAATTGAAGCTAAGAGACATTGAAAGGCGAAAAACCACCTGTCAAATTCTGCTTGCAACAAACAAACTGCTAGGCAACAAAGAAAGAGGTTTTTACATCGTATCATTACTGAGGATGAGAAATGAATTTATTTTGATAACCCCAAACGTCAAAAAACTATTTGCGATCCCGGCCAACCCTCAACATCGACGCCGAAGCGGAATATCCACAGAAAGAAGACAATGCTCTGTATTTGACGGGATCAGAAGGATATGCTGTACCATGAGCTGTTGAAAAGTGGTTAAACAGTCACAGGGGATCTCTACAAAGAACAAATGATCTGTTTGAGCCGAGTATTTCACGAAAAACGACTATATGAAACGACTATATGAAACAAGACAGCATAAAGTGATTTTGCTTCATGACAACGCTCGGCCTCATGTCATAAAATCTGTCAAGGAAATGTTAGAAGCACTTCGCTGGGAAGTGTTACTCCATACGGCTTGTTCACCAGACTGTGCCCCTTCCAACTACCACTTATTTCGGTCGATGGTACACACACTTGCTGACGAATGCTTAAATTTTTATGAGAACGTCAAAAACTGGGTCTTTGACTTGGATAGTCTTCAAAGATGAATCATTCTTTTGCCGCGGAATTCGTTTGCTGACCGAAAGATGGAAAAGGTCATCGCTAACGATGGATAATATTTTGATTGATGTACTTCTTCATTTTGTTTCTTAAATAAAGCCATACGTTTTGCAAAAAAACGGACGGAACTTTCCGGTTGGCCTAATAATAACAAAAAATGGTATGGGCCATTGGAAGGGCATGTACTGCGACCGCTCCTAGCGCATAGGAAGCGGGCAAAAATTCGCGACGACCTGTCAGTCGCCCTCCGCCTCCTCGCAAAATTTTCCTCCAACAAAGCTGTTGGGCGCCAAGCACGATTATCGTGCCCACCAACGCGAACGGTAGCGGTAGCGGCGGCGAGACGATTCGATCGCCTACGAGACTGGTAGCTCCTGTGATTATAGTCGGTGTCGGGAGTGGGTTCTTTCTCTCAGAATCCTCGGGAACCGGATGATATTAATTGGGAAATAAAGCGGACTCAAGCTGTCTGACATAAAACGACGTATATTTCCTGTCGTGCAACCACGATTACAATACGATATTCTCTTCCAGGCGACAACGGAACCCCGCCGGAATCGCTACTCAGCGATAACTTTTCGGTATAAGCGGTGACTCGCGGGTCACGGACAAAAATTTCACGATTGACTCCTGACGGAGAGGCGATAACTACTCCGGTATGTCCTCGTCGCGCACGACTCGTGCTTTCGATAGCTGCTGAAACTCGCTTACGAGAGACGCCCTGCTCCCCGCGTTCCGCGGGAAGACCATCAAACGGATTCGGCCACCAATACATAACACATGTTTTCGCCGAACTCCGACAGCCGCCGATCAGTCCCGCCGCGCAAGCGGTTCACACAGACAAAGGCTACTACAGACAGATACTTTCACACTTTCGTACGCCTGCGGCAGCCTCCTTCGGGTACGTCGCGCTCCTCCGCTGGTAAGAACCGCTCGCTCTCCTCCTCGCCACCGGCGCTCACTCGGTCTCTCTCTCTCTCTCTCTCTCTCTCTCTCTCTCTCTCTCTCTCTCTCTCTCTCTCTCTCTCTCTCTCTCTCTCTCTCTCTCTCTCTCTCTCTCTCTCTCTCTAACTCTCTCTCTCTCTCTCTCTCTCGCTCTCTCTCTCTCTCTCTCTCTCTCTCTCTAACTCTCTCTCTCTTTCCCTCTCTCCCTCTCTCCCTCTCTCCCTCTCTGCATGATCAGCTATCAAACACCCTGTATATCCGCGCTCCTTCCTCAAAATTACGCAGCTCGCCTCGCGATTGCGGCCGAGCAGGACAGCCCGGGGACCCTTTTGGAGGCCCTCCGTCTCTTGTGACGAGCGACCCCAAAATCGCCACGTCACATTACACATTACACGTGTCTTATACGTAGTGTAATGTTTTGATTTCTTATATTAGACAATCGTATGTGGCCCATTATTTATAAAAAAATTAAAATTTTTTGAGATAATGTAACTGATATACAAGGTGTCCCAGGAGGAAAGGTCAATATTTCGTGGGGGTATAGAATGATGTAATATAAGACAAAAATGTTATACAAACATTGTGTCGTTTATTACTGGTTTCCGAGATACAGCTATGTTAAATTACATGTCGGAATTTAAAGTTGGCTCGTCATTGGGATTTCATTCTTCACCGTAATGGATCGCTGCAGGCTGTGTATCAGTTTGAAAGGTTAGAGAAACACATCTGGTGATCTGTCCTGCTGTTTGTGACACACTGCAAAGATGCCGTACGTGTTTTCTAATGCAGAGTACGCAGATATGGTTTATGTTTATGGGTATTGTGATGACAGTGTTCCCACAGCCGTTGAAGAATATCATCGCCGTTTTCCGATGCTCATTCCAGACAGAGGAGTATTCTCAAACATGTTTAACAGCTTACGTGAAAATGGTACACTTCCCAGTGCTTACATCACATCTGAACGTAGAGTTGAGAGAAATGTTGGGGAAGAAGAAAATGTACTTCAAATGGTACAAAGGAGCCCTACGACTAGTACAAGAAGGGTCTCTGCACGTACTGGTGTTCCTCGGACACGTGTCTGGCGGATACTGCATGATCAACATCTGTACTCATTTCATCTGCAATAAGTATAAAATCTCCATGAAGAAGATAGAGCCACACGTCTACAGTTTTGCCAGTGGCTACAGAATCATCGTGAATTAATTCCCGTCATACTTTACACTGACGAGGCAACATTTACGCGTAATGGCATAAATAATATGTAACACCCATCGTTAGTCGCAAGATAATCTTAACGCCATTGTACAGAATTTCCAAGTTCGTTTCTCCGTCAACATATGGTGTGGCATGATTGATGGAATGCTGATTGGTCCCGTTATTTTACAAAATCGTATGACAGGGCAGAGTTACTTCGACTTTTTACAAAATATGTTTCCACAACAACTAGAAGATATTTCTCTGGCTACACGAAGAACAATGTGTTTTCAGCACGACGGAGCATCTTCTGATAACACACATCTTGTGAGAGAATACTTAAATGCAGTGTTTCCACATCGCTGGATCGGTCGCGGTGGAACAGTGCAGTGGCCATCAAGATCACTTGACCTAACTTCCTTGGATTTCTGCTTGTGGGGTTGGTTAAAGTGCGAGGCGCATAAAACTAAAATAAATACACGGGATGAACTTATTGCACGTGTAATAGCCGCTGTCGACCAAATTAAGGGCCGTGAAAATGCCCTTCGGCGCGCAACTCGCCACGTTTTCACAAGATGTGACAAATGTATCGAAGTATGGGGCGAAATATTCGAAAATTTGTTATGATAGATGTATTACAATGTAATTGCAGTAAACTTCAACTCATATTAGACAATTCCGACGTGTAATTTAACACAACTGTATCTCGGAAACCAGTAATAAACGATACCATGTTTATATAACATTTTTGCTTTATATTACCTCATTCTATACTCCCACGAAATATTGATCTTTCCTCTCGGAATACCCTGTATACTGTTTAGGAAACG